TCTTTTTGAAACTTTCCTGCATTTTCCCAGACTTAGGTAACCACTCTCTTCAGCCGGCTTGTATTCAGTATAGTAACTCTAATACTCCAATATAGTTGTACAGATGTTTATCCACCCTCCTTTAATGTGAGCAATTTGAAAACAGTTTTCTTGGAACGATCCAATATGGCCGATAGATAACAGCTCGGGATTGCAGCTCTCAGTCAAAGCGCAGAGGACTAGAGGACACCACACTTTCAGACAAATTCTGGTCGCTCATGGAGCAGAAGATCCCCAGTGGAGGAACCACACAGGTTGCCAGTGCAACTCTTGTGGCTGGTGCAGCGGTTTCGCTGGCACCTCGGCGCAGCAGCTCTGGGAGCAGAGTAAACAGGGCTGGCTCCCTTTCTGACCAAGGCTTGGAGGATCCACAGGGGCCGCCAGTGTGACTCCTGAGACTGGCGCAGCGGCTGTGACAGCACCTCAGCGCGGCAGCTCTCGGCGCAGAGTAAACAAGACTGGTTCCCCTTCTGACCGAGGTTTGGAGCCCCGGGAAGCAGAGTCGCCCATTACGGACACAAGAAGGAAGCCAGACAGGAGAATCCTGGGCAGAAAAGCACCATCAGTCTTAACGCCGCTGTTCTGGCCCTGGGAACTAACAACTTGGATGTCCAATCAAGAGACCTAATCTGAAAGTTGGTAATATCAAAGACGACAGGAGGATAAATTTACAATGATGGGAAAAAAACCAGTGTAAAAAGGCTGAGAATACTCAAAATCAGAGCACCTGTCCCTCTAAAGATGATCACAGTTCCACATCAACAATGGAACAAGGCTTGACGGAGAAGGAGCGCATCCCAATGACAGAATCACTCTTCAAGGAATGGGTAATAAGAAACTTCTGTGAGTTAAAAGAACATGTTGTAGCCCAACGTAAAGAAACTAGGAACTTTGAAAAAAGGTTTGACGAAATCCTATTGGGAATTGACAACTTAGAGAGGAATATGAGTGAATTAATGGAACTGAGGAATACAATACCGGAACTCCGAGAAGTATGCACAGGTTTAAACACTCAAATTGTTAAAGCAGAAGAAAGGATATCAGAGGTCAAAGTCCAACTTAATGAAAGAAAACAAGAAGACAAGATTAGAGATAAAAGGATAAAAAGGAATGAGCAAAGTCTCCAAGAAATGTGGGACTATGTGAAAAGACCAAAATTTACGTTAGATAGGTGTACCTGAATGCAACGGAGAGAATGAATCCAAGCTGGAAAATACCCTTCAGGATATTATTCAGGAAAATTTTCCTGAACTAGCAAAGCAGGTCAATATTCAACCCCAGGTAATACAGGGAACACCACAAAGATATTCCTCAAGAAGAGCAACCCCAAGGCACATAGTCGTTAGATTCACCAGGGTTGAAACAAAGGAGAAAATACTAAGGGCAGCCAGAGAGAAAGGTCAGGTTACCCACAAAGGCAAGCCTATCAGACTTACAGCAGATCTCTCAGCAGAAACTCTACAAGTCAGAAGAGAGTGGGGGCCAATATTCAACATCCTCAAAGAACAGAACCTTCAGCCCAGAATTTCATATGCAGCCAAACTAAGCTTCACAACTGAAGGAAAAATAAAATCTTTTATGAACAAGCAAGAACTCAGAGATTTTATTACCACCAGGCCTGCTTTACAAGAGTTTGAGAGCTCTAGAAAATTTGTGAGCAAAGTATCAGATACCTCATCAGCCCCACCTGAGATTCTCTTGGTCTCACGTCTTTGAGGTCCTTGTCCACTTGTTCTGCCCCAGTTGACAGTGGTCCAATCAACTTCCTGTTTACCTGTTGCCATGGGGTAGAGGGGCTGCAGGCATACTGAGGGCTTGGGCATACGCAACTTGGAAGTGCAGGAGAGCTATGTATGTAGCAAACCTTTGCCAAATGAGAGACAGAAGATATTTTTTTAAATCATCTTCTTTCTTTTCCCTGGAAGGGCTGTCCTGAGATGTGTTATCCACATTTCTCTCTGAAGACAATTCCATAAGATCAAACAATTAGTGATTCTTGATATCAAGCAGTGGCCAGGTAGGTCATGCACCCTTTTATTTATTCTCTCCCCTTCCCTTCCTCTCTCCCCTTCATCTGCATTTCTGCTTCCCTGAGAATGCACTCCACAATGAAGTACTAACACATAATATTATGCCCCAGGCTCTTTTTTATTTCTTGGGCATTTGGACAAAGATTATGTATGTATATTTATTAAACACTTACTGGAGACTAGTGCTAAGTGCTTTAAAGGACATATGACGAATAAAGCACAATCTCTGCTCTTAAAGAAAAGATGAGCAGATGATGGAGGGGCAGAGCCTGAAATGGACACATACAAAACCATAATATCACAGTCACAATGGCCAAAAAGGTTCCAAGGAGGAAGAATATTATTAAGAGAAATCCCTGTCCACTCAGTGGAATCCGACCTAATATAGAATCCATAAAATATCCAAGTCTTCATTTATTTTCCTCCTCTTCTGAGAGCTGAGCATTTTGAGCCAGCTGCCTAAAAGTAGAATGGCATTTTTCTTTTCCAAACCCAAAACTAAATAATAATAATAATTAAAGGATGATATACAAAGAGTGTGCAAAAAAACCTGGCTCCTATTTTTAGAATTGTTGTTTTTCTAGAAAATTTGTTAAGAATTCCTTAAAATCAGAAGTCTCACTATAGACTCCATGTGTTAAACAGAAACAGGTCCAGCTGGACATGTGAGTCTCTCCATTTCTTTCTAAATCTTAATAATGTCCTCACTTCATTATCTTGGTCAATAGTATTGCTTAAACCCTCAGCTTCTTTCAGAAATTTCAGAAGTCTCACCCATAGGAAAATTCAAGATGTTTATTTCAAGACATTTCCTGGTTTTCTAGGAGTCTGTCTCCTGGACTGCCTCTTACTTTTACATTTCCCAAAGCAGTCTTGCCATTATTTGGCCAGCTGAGGATTGGATTCCCTCTAATAAACCTAAAATTTCCTCACTGTCCTCACCCAGCAAAGACACCCAGTAGAAATGACGACCTGCACATGCTTGGAATTGATTCTAATGTATGTGTGGCCTGAAAATTACATTAGCATCCTATTTTATTCCCTTGGCAAATACTGATCGACTACCAAGGCATCACCGCCAAACTAGGGCAGTGTTGGGATTACACCCAGAGCAACAGAGTCCACTTGCTATTTTAGCCCCAGGTTGGTGGTGGTTTTAATATTTCACTTGCACTGGCATTGGTGAGGGAAGCCAGTTTGTCATCAGCTAGAGAGAAAAAAAAAAAGAATAGAGAAGCAAATACAAATATTATTGAATAATTTTCATAGCTGTGGAGCTGTGTAAACACAGAGGGAGATTAAAAGATGAGTGTCTTGGTTCTACTCTCAAATGGCATTTAGTTTACTTTCCAGACACCACAGTCTTAGAAATTCGTTCTTGTCTTGTTACTGTTTGCTGCAGTTGTCTTGTTGTTTGCTGCAGACTGCTTTCCTGTCATGAGCCCAAACTGTCCTTTTTGAGTAGTGTGTTTCACAATCATTTCTCCCTCCTCTTGTTACTAAAAAAGGCACATGGCTTCTAACTCAGAGAATAGTGATGATGCAGGCAGGTGTTCCTCAGATAGTATTAGGTTAGTTCCATCTTCCCTGAACAGTAACATTAGACAGGTTCAGAGAACTGGGAAGTGAATAAGGTGGGGGGCAGGGTGGGCACCAGAGTAGGGAGGGGAATAAGCTATTATTTCATCCAGTCTATCCAAAACGTCATGTGGTAAAACTTAAAGGAAACAGTAAAAACAGAAAGAATTTCAATCTAAGGCTTTTATTTATCAAATATGAAAGAGACAAAATGTTCTGTTTAAAGACAAAGGTCTTTGCTTGATAGTCAACACAAATATGTAGCCTAAATATGGGGAAATTGCCCTTTTGTTTTGTGGTGGTATCTCGATGGCATAGTCCTGGCCCTCTCCCATCTACCTTGCTGCCAGCACACTCCATTGACTGCTGCATCCTGGCATGTTGGAGGGTCGGAGATGCAAGTGGCAATGAGAGCTTATTCCTTCCTCTTGGCCACAATATGGTGAAAGAGACAATATGTTGCCATGACAGCCCATAACCCACTTTTTATGAGGCTGGACCTGTTCTTAAATATGTAAACATTGCTATTTAGAACATAGAACCTTTTATGAATGATTGATAGCAACATCTAGACCCCTGAATCTGTCTCCAGAAAGAAGCAGAACTGGCTTTTTTGACTGTCACTGATAAATCACTCTATGTCTCCCCAGTGGGAGCTGCAAACACTGCATCACAGGTCCCCACATTCAATGCAGACCTCAGAAAGAGTACCCAGACCTAGTTCTGCCTGGGGGAGGAATTGGCATGACTCACCATCAGCTTCATGAAAGAGGGGAATTGCTAATGTCCTTGTAGCACTGGGCCAGAAGGAATTGGTCCTTAACTAGTAGACAAGCTGGTCAATTAAGGCTTGGTCAGGAAAAGAATCAGGAGGAAGATGAAATGGTGGGAGAAGATTCTGAAAATCAGTGCTATGCAACAGGACCCACTCTGTTCTTCTGACCTTCCCTCCTCTCCATCCTGTGGCTGAAGAACTAAACATCTAAAAGCTGTGCTCTGCTAGAAGCCAAGTGATGTAGAATAGCACAAAGGCTCAACCTTGGACCCTGGAGCCTCTCCAAATCTCCCACCATCACATCCTGACCAGTTAATTGCAGCAAGTCCTTTCATGTTCCTGAACCTTAGTTCTTTGACCCACAACATGGGATAACCTGATAGAATATTTTTTTTATTGTACTTTAGATTCTGGGGTACATGTACAGATCATGCAAGACTGTTGCATAGGTGCATTTATGGCAAAGTGGATGGCTGCCACCATCCCCCCATCACCTATACCTGAATTTCTCTCCATGTTATCCGTCCCCCATTTACCCTCCCACTATTCCTTCCATAGCCCCCCAAAACGAACCCCAGTGTGTGATGCTCTCCTCCTTGTGTCCAAGTGTTCTCATTGTTCAACACCCGCCTGTGAGTCAGAACATGCAGTGTTTGATTTTTTGTTCTTGTGTCAGTTTGCTGAGAATGATGGTTTCCAGATTCAGCCATGTCCCTACAAAGGACACAAACTTATTGTTTTTTATGGCTACACAGTATTCCATGGTGTATATGTGTCACATTTTCTTTGTCCAGGCTATCACTGATGGGCATTTGGGTTGGTTCCAGGTCTTTGCTATTGTAAAGAGTGCTGCAATGAACATATGTGTGCATGTGTCTTTATAATAGAACGCTTTATAGTCCTTTGGGTATATACTTAGTAATGGGATTGCTGGGGCAAATGGAATTTCTGTTTCTAAAGCCTTGAGGGATCGCCACACTGTCTTCCACAATGGTTGAACTAATTTACACTTTCACCAACAGTGTAAAAGTGTTCCTGTTTCTCCACATCCTCTCCAGCATCTGTTGTCTCCAGATTTTTTAATGATTGCCATTCTAACTGGCATGAGTTTGTATCTCAATGTGGTTTTGGTTTGCATTACTCTAATGACCAGTGATGATGAGCATTTTTTCATATGTTTGTTGGCTTCATATATGTCTTCTTTTGAAAAGTGTCTGTTCATACCCTTCTCCCACTTTTGGATTAGTTTTTTTTTTTTTGGTAAATCTGTTTCAGTTCTTTGTAGATTCTGGATATTAGCCCTTTGTCAGATGGGTAGATTGAAAAAATATTTTCCCATTCTGTTGGTTGTTGGTTCACTTTAAATGATTGTTTCTTTTGCTGTACAGAAGCTCTGAAGTTAAATTAGATCCCATTTGTCTATTTTGGCTTTTGTTGCCATTGCTTTTGGTGATTCAGTCATGAAGTCCTTGCCTATACCTATGTTCTGAATGGTTTTGCCTAGGTTTTCTTCTAGGGTTTTTATGGTGTTAGGTCTTATGTTTAAGTCCTTAATCCCTCTGGAGTGAATTTTAGTGTAAGGTGTCAGGAAGGGGTCCAGTTTCTGCTTTCTGCACATTGCTAGCCAATTTTCCCAACACCATTTATTAAACAGGGGATCCTTTCCCCATTGCTTGTTTTTGTCCAATTTGTCAAAGAACAGATAGTTGTAGATGTGTGATTTTGCTCCAGAGGCCTCTGTTCTGTTCCATTGGTCTATATCTCTGTTTTGATAACAGTACCATGCTGTCTTGATTACTGTTGCCTTGTAATATAGCTTGAAGTCCAGCAGCGTGATGCTTCCAGCTTTGTTCTTTTTGCTTAGGATTTTCTTGGATATGTGGGCTCTTTTTTCATTCCATATGAAGTTTAAAGTGGTTTTTTCCAGTTCTGTGAAGGTCATTGGTAGTTTGATGGGATAGTGTTAAATCTATAAATTACATTGGGTAGTATGGCCATTTTCAGAGTATTGATTATTCCTGACCATGAGCATGGAATGTTTTTCCATCTGTTTCGGTCTTCTCTTATTTCTGTGAGCAGTGGTTTATAGTTTTACTTGAAGAGGTCCATTACCTTCTTTGTTAGTTGTATTCTTAGGTGTTTAATTCTTCTTGTAGCCATTGTGAATGGGAGTTCACTCTTGATTTGGCTCTCTTTAAGTCTGTTATTGGTGCATAGAAATGCTTGTGATTTCTGCACATTGATTTTCTATTCTGAGACTGCTGAAGTTGCTTATCAGCTTAAAAAGATTTTGGGCTGAGATGATGGGGTCTTCTAGATATACAATCATGTTGTCTGCAAATAGAGAGACTTTGACTTCCTCCTTTCCTAATTGAATACCCTTTATTTCTTTTCCTTGCCTGATTGCTCTGGTTAAAACTTCCAATACTATATTGAATAAGAGTGGAGAGAGATGGCATCCTTGAACTTGACAGAATTTTTGCGATAATATAATGACATGTTACTTACAAAAATGATTCATAATGCAAACATATAACTATACTATTAATACTAACATTTTAGGATTCACACTGATCACAAATTTACATTGACAAAAGTACTTTGAGGAGTTATCTGTTGAGTACCCAGAAGAATGCTACCACATTGCCTGTCTGTGATTTGTGACCTGGGAAATCTGGGGACATTACACAAGATAAAGAATAATTCTCGGGACTCCATGTTTGAATTCCCTTTCACAAACACTCCCTTCATGGAAGCCATCTTTCTCTCTCCTGAATTTCCCCTCTGGAGTCCTCTTCCACACTCTCTCGTGGAAGCCTGTCTCCCCCTCCTAAACTCCATCTCTCTCTATTCCCTTCCATTCAGTGTGGAAGCTGCTTTCCTCTCCTGGATTCCATCTTTCTAGATTATCTTACTCAGTGTGAGAGTTAGCTGTTTCTTCTCTCTCCTTCTCCTGTTTCTCTCTCTCTTTAAATAAATCACTTTCTACAAACAAACTACAAAAAAATAAAAAATAAAGAATAATTCTCTTATCTACCTGATTGGGCCCATAGGGTATAAATATAAAGGCACTTCCCTTAAATTGCAGCTGATAGGTACTGGACAGAGAAGTTCATTTTATTTTAGATTTATATAGTGCAATAACAATATGACAATTGAAGTACCAAAAGTTTTGAACATGAAATGTTTATACTTTTGAAATGCTTAATGATCTTTCCTGCACAAGATGGAAAGGCTTTCGGCTTAGAGGAAAATAACAAAATGTCCAAAAAGGAATGTGTGAAATATCTTTTGCAGGTGCACAGTTCAGGATGCTTTCTGTCATTCATCCAAATATTTTTATCACTGAGACATACTGAAGAAAAATAAATGACAGTGAGATTCACAGTCATAGTTTCCTCACATCACCTTGACTTGGGATGAAGAACTTGAACTTTTGTCTGTTAAAGTTAAAAACTAACAAAGTAGGACAGGAGGTTTTCTAAAGGTAAAACTGACTCTCCTTTCTTGCAAGGACTTCTTGAACAGGCCCCAAACTCAGAGACACGGTCCTACAGCCCAAAGTCTTATCATGGTGTTTACTCAAATACTTTTAGTATTTTGGAGGGTCTGATATGATCAATACTCTCGTTTCCTATACGTTATACGTTTCTGAAGCTGCCCTGGAAACATTAGCTAAGCTCTTTTTTTTCAGTGTTTTCTTTTGCTCTGAAAAAAATGAATCTGACTCACTCAAGGTTGATCCATCAACCAGTTCCCCTCTATGGCTTGTGGGGCAGGGTGGCACTGTGAACCCAGAAGCCTGTCTGGGTGAATTCAGCTGTCGGAGCAAGCAAACCACCTTTGTCCTTGTCTCTGTGCCTCTCCCCTCTGTCTTTGCAGAGTGCCTCTCCCACATCTTCCAAACCTCATAGCCCCTATTACTCTGGCTACCCACTCCCTCCTGCCCCAAGCCCCACCTCTGGACTGGCATTCTCCTCCCGTCAAACAGACTCTCTTCAACCCCCCAGGCTCTCCCACTCTTTAGATTGAAAAGCCAATCATTCCATAAGCTTTTGCTCTTGGCGAAGGGAAATGTGAGGTAAAAATGCCCTAATGTGTAGCAATAAGTGTCACTTCAAAGAATTTTGGGCAGCCCTATTGAAGGGTGAGGAAGGTGGTCATCTGAGTCCTTGGAATGCCACTACTTGGGTCACTGTGGACGTCAGATGGTCCTGTAGAGCAGGGAATGGGAGGTGGGTGGTGTACTTCGGTCGTTGAACTGTGTATGTTGTGGCCTCTGCCTCCCAGGCCAATTTTAAAAGGAACTCTTCCTGGTGTAAAGTCTAAAAATGAAGAAAAAAATCAGATTTTATTTTAAATGTAAGCTTATATTTCTAGTCTTAGCTCACATATGATGCAAACAGTAGTGACTCACATCGCATCCCAGTGGTTCACCCCTACACAGAGACTGAACCTCCAGAAGGTTGGCAAAATTGGCAGTTCTGAAAGGCGGTCTCTTAAGCAGCAGCATCAGTCTCACCTGTAGACTTGAGAGAGGTACAAACTCTTGGGCCTCCTTCTGGATCTCCTGAGTCAGAACCTCTGGGGATGGGGCTTGGCAATCTGTCTTAACAAGGCCTCCAGGTTAGTCTGAGGCACACTCAAGTCGGGAACCACTGTGCAAAAGGTACAGCTCTGCTCTTGCTTAAGAAGATTCAATTAAAATCACAGCTGCACTACCATTTACACCCCATATCTTTTCAGAAAGATTTTAAGGGAGCTATTTTTCAACTCCCACATAAACAATTTTCATCTCTTCATGTAGCTATAAAATGGAAATTGTGACACTGCATTCAAAGTTGCTAAGAAATATGAGGTAGCATACCTGAAAAGTAGAGGAAATAGAAGTAATGCATATAAAAGAGTATTTAAAATTACAGAGTCATATGAAAACATCAGAGACATAATTATCTTCTAGCTCTCTTTTTGTTGCTTTTCTTTCTTTTATCCTTTTCCCCTCCCTTTTCCTTTCTCTATCCTTTCACTCCAGTTTTTCTTCCTCCCCTTGTTCCTTACTTCTGTGTGACATGTGTTCTCTAGTTCCTGGGTTTTAAATTAACCCTAAGTTCTTAATATTGAAGAAGTTTACACCCCACTCTATTAAACACTGCATGTGTTTAAAATATCCAAATGCTTTGCTCAGTCCTTGAGATACTTTTATTCAGGACTGCCCTACCAAAAAAAAAAAAAAAATTATGAGCCTGAGTATAAATGAATTGGAAATATTTGAATTAAATTTATCTATTATCTTTTACACAATGCATGGTTTTAAATTAAGGGAAAAATTTCTTGGTAAAATGAATTTCAGATTTGGAAAAAATATATTAAATGCTTCAATCCCACACACTACTGAGCTTTTATCCCTGTTGATGTGAAATATTTAGTGCCTTACCAATTTCAGGATAAATATGATCTGAGTGAATTGAATGTCTGTTAACTGATTTCTTTTGTTTATGAAATAGGCGATGCCTGTTTAAGACCTTAAAATTTTACTATTTCCATTCTAAAAGGATAAACAAAATACCAATGATAAATGAATTCCAAAAAACCCTTTTTGTTTATATCTAAACAAAACACTGAAATTTGGCATGTGAGGTCTCGTACATTTTTTTCTTTCAGAAAGACTTTGTAATGAAGTGGAAATAATCCATATCTTGAAATTTAATAGGCCTGTATTTAAATAATGGCCATGCCATTTGCTAGCTTGAGGGTAAATTATTTTACCTGGATGATCACTGTTTTTTCATAAGTAATAGTGGCAATATGATGGTATAAAACTGTAGAAAATATCAAATCAAAAGATATGATAACATTTACTCCTTCTCTTGAGTAAACAAAATAGACATAGGTTCAGATATAACCTCAACACATTTCACCAGAGGAATCAATGAAATACCATTCCTATGGATTATTTTTGATTCCTAATAACATCAAAAATACTAGTAGAAAAATGAAAATGATGAGAAATTGGAATTTGGGGTCTACGAAGTTTCCGGAAAGGTATCACTCTGAATCAACAAGTTATTTGGTGAAGTACAGATACCACTCATGTTCATTTCTTGAATAAACCAAAATGGCCTGTTGGAATATTATTTCCCCAATTAGTTTATTGCATATATAGAAAGAAAATGTTCAGTTTTTGAATATATAAAGCAATAAAAACCAAGTAATATCATCAAATTATATTGACACTGAATGCTTCATAAAACTGAGTTAAGGAGCTGTATCCAGTCATAGGAAAGAGATTTTCATTTTTAATTGTTAACAAGTGCTTCTTAGCACGGCAAGGCAATCGTGCATATGGTTAAATTGACTCAAGTCTTGCTTGAGAAATGAAGGTAGAACACATTACTAACCCTATTGCTTATCCCCAGCCCACCACTAAGGTCTTCCTCCCTACCTCCTTTTTCTGGATTTTCTGGCCTCTCAACTTCTCCACTGTCTTCACCACTTGAAATCCTTTGTATTATTGAAAGAGTCCTCCAAGAAATTTTTATTACCTCTTTCCCCCTTAAATTGGTGCAGAATCTCTGTAGTCTTTGAATCCCCATGAACTTTATAAATTATGTTTTATTTTGTAACTACTTGTGCCTGATGCCCTGTGAGCCCTCTGGGTATGTCTTATCTTGGCACCTGCAGTGTCTACAACACAGCCTAGCACAGTATCTGATGCAGTTAAGTGCACAGAGTGAAGTTGTCCTAGCAGAGTTGGCAGGTATAGTGAGTAGCACAGCAGAGGTTGAGATAATTTCTAGAGCAGAAGTCAGGTTCAGCTCACATGTTTGACTGAGTAAGCCACTTGGCTATAAAGAGAAAACCACATATGCAAGTAATTTGCTTCCTCACAGAGCTGTTTCATTTGTCCCATGTATATTCATGCAAAATCTATGCACTTCCTCTTATTAAAAAAAATAGGACCAAATATACACTGACTTAAGAAATATACCTTTTGTGTGATTTTTTTTTTGTGGAATGGGCATACTGACACTGATAAATTATAAAAATGGTGATTGTAAGATACAAATAATGACACACAGCATCTTTTAAATGGTGAACTAGAACAATACCACTTTCAAAATGTGTAAATTGATTTCTATTTTAGGGATTTTTTTGGACTTCTACACTTGTGAGACAATCTGAGAATTCAATATTTAATTAATTTATGAATCTAACATTTTAAAACAATATACCTAAAAAAATCACAAAGAGGATGAATAGCAAATTATGTTCAACTATGAACAGAATAACACCTTGCTGTTATTTCAATATAACACAGACATGAAATGTCTTTTGAAGAATAATTTTCTTCACAAAACAAGCAGTTGATTCCAACTGATTTCAATTTATTATCGGAATAACTAACACTTTTAGTTGTTTTTAACCATAAAAGTATAAATAAAATTCTTAACTGATGATGGTAAATTCCTCAAAAAAGTCATAAGTGGAATTTTCTCAAATGATGCAAGTATGTAGTTCAGTATTATTTATTAACCACTGATAAAGGTAACCAAATTAAAAAGGAAAGAAAAACATTTTAAAAGTTCCTGTTTCATATGTAAATCATAATTTAGTTTCATATATCTATTTGACTCAAAAGTAAAAAGACTAATGAACACCCATATTGAAAACAGTCCTTGCCCTGTGGTCCTCGCTCAGGAGTGCCGGATTTGCTCCGCGGGTGCCGCCAGTGTTTCCAGAAGCTGCTACAGTGAGCATTAGGGGATTATGTGATGACTTGCTCTTTTTGAGAGGGAGGAAAGGAGCAGAGTTGCTCAAAGGGCATTGGGTGGGGAAGAAACAAAAGTAATAGAAATTATTTTTCAGTAAAACACATATATTGAATTATTTTTATTATTGTATAATATAGCTTACAAGATTTTTGGTTTTGTTAGGCTTTTCTCTGAGATTATCAGAAAAATATTGCAGTAGTCTTCAAATGTATTTAATCAGCTCTGCAAAGGAAAATTCTGATTCATTGGAGGAAAAAAAATGAAAAGAATTAGTTAATCTTTCATACAGTCTCAGAAAATCACAAAGAAGATGAACAGGAAATTATTTTCAAGTATGAATTAAGTTTAGAAAATGAAACTCCCAGGAAATCATCTTAAATTTTTTTCCTTTTCCTTTTTAAATTTTTTGTCTTATTTCCTATTTCACTTGTCTCAAAGATGAAAACATTGCAACAAATAACTCTAGGAAGATACTCATATTGTGGTTTTCAGTTGAGATACTCTTTTAAAAAGGTCTAGCAGAGAGCAAATTCTTTGTACAGTAAAAGGGAAAGTTGTGATCCTGTTTTTTTTTTTTATGTTACTGAAATATGATTTGTTGCTGAGAGATTTATGAGAGTGAATAAGAGATCAAAGATTTCTGAAAGTTTGAGGTTCAGTAAACACAAGACTACTACTTTCCAAAAGAATTTCTATTTTTAAAACGTCCTGAAGATTATAGAGTGAAATTTAATCTATCTTTCAATTATTGTCTCCTGTATCAGCAAACCATAACTTGACAAAGTTAGATCATGTCCTTGAAGCAATTTAAGTTGCATTATGGGGAAAGGAGGAAAGATGGAAGGGACAGCTTAACACTTAAATTTTTTAAAATAACATGTAATTTCCCTTTAACAAATGAAAGCAAAAAATAATTTGGTACATTTATTAATGTAATCACTTTAGTAAAGAAATAATATTAATGATATTTCATGCTACTTCATTTTATAAAGCATAAATGTATTAGGTGAAAATATTTATATTCTCTCGCTCTACTGAAAATTGAACATAATACACTAAATATTAAGAATGATGGCCAGGCGCGGTGGCTCATGCCTGTAATCCCAGCACTTTGGGAAGCCGAGATGGGCGGATCACAAGGTCAGGAGTTCAAGACCAATCTAGCTAATATAGTGAAACCCTGTCTCTACTGAAAATACAAAAATTAGCCAGGTGTGGTGGTGGGCTCCTGTAATCACAACTACTCGGGAGGCTGAGGCAGAGAACTGCTTGAACCTGGGAGGTGGAGGCTGCAGTGAGCCAAGATCACACCACTGCACTCCAGCCTGGGCGACAGAGTGAGACTCTGTCTCAATTTAAAAAAAAAAAAAATGACATAAGGAATTAATTTTAATGGGTTCCTCAAATACTGTTTTTAATCACTGACAGTGTCATCTTGAATTGAGGTAATGCACTTTAATTTTGGCATATTTGAGATACATTGATGGCTACTTTTTTTCACTTTTCATCCTTATCTTCCACGTGAACAGTAATGTCTATGAATCTGACAACTT